AAATCGCGAACATTAAACAGAATTTTAAGGAGGCCAAGTTCACGAGATCTTCAAAATGGTGCGCGAGAAGGAGATGCTAATGCGGCCCGCGCTTGTGGTTGCTATTGTACCCACAGCTGTCATCCCGTACGATTTACCCCGCATTCTTGTACAGGGAAATTTAGTTTTCAGGTCCATACGGCGTACAGCCGTTTCAATATTAGGGCAAATTTTTTTGTTTATATATATTTGTTTGTGTTTCTCCCTTGTGATGGGACTTTGTAGGATGAACGTTGAGATGTATAAGGGGGCACGGGGTGACCAATAAGGTCTGAATTGGTCTGTAATAAGGTAGGGCACTGATAGAGGCTCGACAGCTGTGCGTGGACGCTTGTTGCACCTCACGCGGCATTCGCTGCCGAACTTTGCTGCCCCGACTAACGATGAAGCTCGCAGGGCGCGTCCCCGTGCACCGTGGCAAACGCGCTGGAGCGCGTTCTTTCAATAGCAGTGCGCGCGCACGCGCGCGCACAACCACAAATATAAAGCATGAATTAAAATCTAACGGGCTACTCCAAAATCGCGTCGGGTAAAACGCGAGGCGACTGCGTTAAACGTCACTCCACAACGCGAATGATGAAGTCTCCGAGTTATGTGTTTACGCAATTATCCTAACGGGTGCGTCTAAATCGGACCCCAGAGCGCAAACAAAGGGCCCTCTGTCTGCAGTGTCGGCCAGTTAAATCAGCATTGATTAAAGCAAGCCCGACGCTGCTGATGACACACCGGATGTCGAAACCGGCCCAGGGTGTGCTCGCCTTGAATCGGTTCCGTTGAAATTACGCACTCTCTGAAGGCCGTGGTGCGGCTGATGGGTCAGTGTGTAAGAAATACTTTTAACGTGTATAAGGGAGGCATGTCGTCGGTGTATTTATTTAGTTATGGACAGCCAAAGGTCCTCTAAAACGTGATTTATTTTTGAAAATTATTCGATTCAAAACGGAAATGAATATGCAAAGGAAAGAATGTTCAAGGTCAATTAATTGGGGGTCACAAGGCATCGGGACCACCCTGTAGATTGGATCGGTGATCCCATCGTCCCTGGCATTGTCTCGTGAATTCACCACACTCAGTAATTCCCACAGCCTTTAGTTCTAGTCCGGTGGTTTTCAACCGTTTCTGGCTATTTTTGCCCTGAGATATAAACGCACGCAAAATGAACGTCGATATTTTAACCAGGCGTCAATTTTACGAGGCATCCCAACGAGCGAGTAACCGCAAGCGAATATAAAACACAATCAACGGACGCTCCGCATGTACGACGTAATTTGTTCGCGCTCGCTGGCTACTCTCGGAAACCCGCATTGTTCAAGATTGATTAGTTTAGAAAGGTATTCACATCGTTCTAGGTTACCATATGGATTTACATTTTATCGTAGTTCTTTTATATTTGTAGATTTATACGTGATTATTCACCAATGTATGGTATCATTTCACACATTTATAAATGATCTCACGTACCCCTGGGACATCGCCACGTGGTAACCCCCAGGGCTCCACGCGGTAACCCCCAGGGCTCCACGCGGTAACCCCCAGGGCTCCACGTGGTAACCCCCAGGGCTCCACGTGGTAACCCCCAGGGCTCCACGTGGTAACCCCCAGGGCTCCACGTGGTAACCCCCAGGGCTCCACGCGGTAACCCCCAGGGCTCCACGCGGTAACCCCCAGGGCTCCACGCGGTAACCCCCAGGGCTCCACGTGGTAACCCACAGGGCTCCACGTGGTAACCCCCAGGGCTCCACGTGGTAACCCACAGGGCACCGTGTGGTAACCCACTGTTGTAGACCACCAACTCAAAGGAGAAAAAAATTGGGCCAATTTTAATATTGGTGGCAGCAGCAGCAAGAAATTTGGGTAACTGTTGTGCGACCGTTTTCATTCTCGTGAGTGATCGTCACTGCAGTTCAGCCCCCCCCAATTTCCCACAGCTGCCATAAGGCCAAGGTGGTTCGTGTGGATAAAGCGTGATCCACTGTGACGAAGCCTTTGCCGTTGCAGCACCAACGTGAAGCAACAACCCTGTTTCCTGCCTCAACACCGTAAATATGCCTTCAAAAAATATCCTGAAGCACACGATCAGTGCTGGATACGATTGCATTTGAAAATGTGATTTGTAACGTTCGTCCTTACCCGTGTATGGGTAATTAAATGTGAGATTTCATTGCGGGACCGTGTTTTCTTGGTGTGGTATGGGACTCTTGTTGCTGTTGTATTGCTGCTGTGCCCGAGTTTGACAATTTGTGTACTTTTGATATTAGAACTTACATACTTTATTTATTTAACGTATTTATTCGAGTGATTTGCTTATACGTTGCACTCCTATCGTGTTTTTCTACAATTTGTTATTGTTGTAACGTTCTGACCTGCCCCTACTGGACATCTGTGAAAAAGGTCTTCATAGCTCATCGGATTTCTCTTTATATCAAGGGCGAGATACTCATCAGACAAACCGTGACCACAGCTGGAAACAATTTAAACGAATAAACTACGCGCAAAAGGTGATTTATAATACGTATATTATCACACGATGTTGCCGTTGTGTAATGGTATGTACACTGGACATGCAATGCCACTGGTTGCCAATTCGATCTCCTGGCGTGGCAGTTTAAACAATGGTGCAAGTTTGTTGAAATCTCCCAAAATTCGCCTCTTTCCCACCCAGCGATTGGCAGGTCGCGTGCGGTGGGGTAAGCTGTGGGCACTCCCACCTATTCCAAGACGACTGACCAGCGTGAAAGAGTAGGCCAAATACCATTCACACGCCATCACCGGCGCTCCAGAGAGCTGTCACGCTGCGTCGTCTGGCCTACCCGTGAGCCACGCACCGAACAACAGCAACCGTGGCATTCCCCCACTGCCAATTAGTTGAGTCACTGAAAGACATTTCACGATGGGGGCTCTTAATCAAATTACAATGCAATCAATCGCCGTGCTCTGCATGCCGGCTGACCTCCTGAGCCCGGGGATCCTTTTTAGGATTCATAGATTAATTGATTGACAGTGGTGTAGCAGTGGTCTGAATGGGCCCTGGTGCAAGGCATTAAATGGGGCCCCTCCACTGAAACCTGGGCACCTTGGCACAGTTAGTGGGTCTCTATGTGAGTGCATGAGTCACTAAGTAAGTCTATAGGTCACAGTGGCATAGTGTGGTTGGCATGGGCGCTGGTGTAATGAATTAAATAGGGCTACCTGTCCAATCCCACCCAAACACCCTCTTCATAGCCCGGGTCATCTGGGCACCTCCAGTCCGTGGGCTCCGTTACAGTTGCACCGCCTGCACACTCGGTGGATACGCTACTGTTGATCGACATCCTTCAGGTAAACCAGAATAGAGTCTCGGGACACGACAAGTCTCTTTTGGTCAGGAGCAGTGGTGGATATGGGCCGGAGCACCCCAGAACGCCGTGGCGGGAGTGAACATTTGTTCTAGAAGGAATCAAGGATTTATATTTGTTTTTATTTGACTCATAGATAGAGCCCCTAATCTGACAGGGAGATCCACAAACATGCACACAGATCCACAGACACGCACAGAGACCCATAAACAAGCTCAGAGACCCACACATCAAGCGAAGCTCCTCCTCACCCTCTTCCTCCTAAGATCTCGTGGGGGTGGGGGGGGGGGGGAATCATTTATGAGTTCCCCAAGTAATTTATCCCATTTTGGGCGCTGGACGGGAGAACTGGCCTGAAGACTCAACCAGTATCGAGCAGGGGTGCATTCAATGGACAGAGCGTTCCAAAGCACTTTTTTTCTGCTGAATGGCTCTCTTAGCCTGGAGCGCATTATAACGGGCTGATAAACGATCCTAGGCGTTTCCTCGCTCAGTATTAGGTGCTGCGTGTCAAAATCCATCCGCGAAATGTGGGGTTTTGCGGACGCAAAGCGCATTTGGTCGAGCGGGCAGCGTGCCTTCGCCTGCCGCCTCAACGCACCGTTCAATAATCAGCCCACGGCAGAGCGCCTCTGCCCATCGAACGCACCCGGCGGCGGAAGTCAAGCGGCTCGCCGGCTCGAGTCCCACCACGTTCTTGAGCGGCGAGTTTCTTTTTGTGTGTGGGGGTGGCGCATCATCGACAGTGCTTGCTTGCAGGGAAGACACAATGCAGCACGAAGGATAACCTCAACTGTTCGGTTCTTTCGGTAAAGTCACGTAGGTTATAAAGTAAAATAAATCACGACGTTTGGGGCCAGAAACGTCGTGATTTAATTTATTTCATTTCATACCCTACGTGACTTTACCGAAAGAACCCAAAGAGCATGGATCCCTGCGGTCACGCAAACTTCACATCTAGATTGAAGGATAACCTGCCTCTCGCCAAATCACCCAGAATGCGCCCGATCTCATCAGATCTCAGAAGCATACAAAACAGGCTCGGTCCTTGACAGCGCTTGCACAGGCGCCACCATGCATATCAAGTGTTACCGGCAGCTACAGGGGCTGCGCCGTGACAGCAAAGAGCATTGCAGCAGCATCCATTGTTGTGCTGCACGTCTGTGTTCCCACGCCGTATGCTCCCCCACCTTCAAAAAACCACGCACCGTGCAGCGTGGTGAAATATGGTGAAACGACATCCCACGACTGGGGAGGCCTCTTCATCCAGAAGTGGATGCGACAAAATTAATGACTGTACACGTACAACGTACATTTTTTTAAAGAAAAAAAAAAAGCACAGAAAATCCCAACCATTAATTGAACCCTTTCTCTCAATGCATGCCACTCTCCTTTCAAGTTCACGCCAAGGACTTGCGTACGAGCCGCATGCGCTGCTTTACCCGCCCGGCACGGCCACTAAGAGCAAAGGAAGGGCATTCGCTCAGGCTGCAGAGCTCTGGGATGGCCATCGATGCGTGGCCTGCAATTACAGACTGACGTTATTCACGGCCCGTTGTCAATCCACCAGCCAGTTGCGTGAATTCCTTCGTATGCCGCGTCGATCGTGTGTGTGTGTGTGGTGGGGGTGGGGGGGGACGTTTGAAACAGTTTTTTTTATTTATCCTGGACGAAATTCGAAGAGCTTATGAATCTATTTTTTAACAGATGTCCAGTCGAGGTGGGTCAAAAAGTTACAACAAATACCAAAACAACGGTTGGAGTGCAAAGTATAGGAAAGGTAAGCAAATCACACGAAAAAATACTTCAAATAGATTTTTTTTTTATTTATAAACGTATATAATACACATCGCAAAAGTTGGTTCAACCAACGCGACTATATCATGCAGCGTCTTAACGTCACGGGTTGTTGTAAAAACGACACCCATTAAAACAAACCGGTAACCGTTTCCCCCATTCCATTACTGGTTACAAAAGGCATGAACCGGTAACCGTTTCCAGCAGCATTTTAGTCACGAAGGCATTGAATTGGCACGCGCGTAGCTACAAAGTGAGCGGACGCAGCCCTAAGGGGCACATTTGCCCTTGTTTCTCATATACGCACAAGGCAAAGGCGCAGCGCTGCAATTTCCCGCTCAAGCTCCTGCTGGCAGAAGCGCCTCCACTCGAGCGAGCTCTTGACAGCGGCACTGTGTCGGTTCATCTCTTACCCAGACTTTTACCTCGCTCACACGCGGCTTGGCAATCGACTAACTGTAGCGCATGGACGCAGCAAAACGATTGTAACCGCCCCCCAATTCATGCACGCTTCTAGCTACCGTCATGTCGCCTCAGTGTTCTCTCTCCGTTCTCTAGAATTCAAGATCCCCTCCCTACCTTTCATCATGCTAAGTCCGCCTATTAAAATGCAATTTTTGTATGCTAATTCCTTTGTCAAGGCACCTTAATTACTCTCACACAAGCTTAAAGGTCCGCGGTCTGAGCTTGGCTGTGTTTCACTCCAGCGCTGTCCTCGAGACAGTCTGGTCCCTTCACCTGATGAAGGCCGCTTGTGTTGTGGCCGAAACGTCGTGATTTTTGTTGTTTTATTTTTTACCTACGTGACTTTACCGAATAGAACCAAAGAGTATGGATCCTTGCAGTCACGAAAGCTTCAAATCTAGAATCCCCTCTGCTGTTTTTTTTTTAAACAACACCCTCTCTCAGTTTAACACGTAGGCTTTCGCGACCAACATTATTCATAATAAAGGTTTTTGGGTTAAATCGCGTTATTTATAAATGTGTCGTAACCCTCCACCACCCGATACGGCCAATCAGAAAAAAAGTGTCACGTTGACAAAAGACAATTAGTTCACTACTTTACTGCACATGAAATGAGTTAAATGATGACGTCACCCTGCTGCTCTATTTAAGACCGAGAGCAAGTGGAGGGCTTTACCATTCTGGCGAATTGCCCGATGATGCTGGATGTAATTACCAGCGAAACGTCGTACTATTCAAACTGTAAATGTTTTGGATTCACTCTGCAACACACCGGTGGGCTAAAGTAGTGAACTATTTGTCTTTTGTCAACGTGACACTTTATTTTGCTGATTGGCCGTGTCGGGTGGTGGAGGGTTACGACGCATTTATAAATAACGCGATCTAACCCAAAAACCTTTATTATGAACACCCTCTCTGCAACGTCCCTTCAATGGGCACGCTTCGTCGATGTGCGTCGTGTGCTGAGATGCGGGTCACCTTTAGTTTGCCGTGCGAATCCAAATGTTATTGGATTGTATAATATGTGAGACAGAGGGGGGAAAAAAATAAGCAAGGAACAGGGTGCACGCTTGGAATTACAATGAGATGCAGAGGAACAAAACGCGCGGATAAGGGAACAATCGCGACTTTGAGACATCGTGTTCACTGTTGAGAAAAGCAATAGGGCGGAGCTCTGTGCTAATCCGAGTCCAAATCCATTTTAATCCATGCCCCCGTCCGTTTTATTTTACGGAAACTTATAAGTTTCATACCGTGTCAACCCATACGGTTTACTCCGTATTCTTGAGCAGGGAAATTGAGTTTTCAGGTCCATACGGCGTACAGCCGTTTCAATACGGGCAAACACATTTTTTTGCCTGTTTGTGCGTTTCTCCCTTGTGACGGGACTTTGTAGGATGAACGTTGAGATTTATAAGGGGCACGGGGTGACCCAATAAGGTCTGAATCGGTCTGTAATAAGGTAGGGCACTCATAAGGCGTTGACGGGTGTGTATTTTTCACGTTGGATATTCTTTATTCTGTTTATTTCGGGAGTGGGTCAACAGGTGTACAAAATTGTAGATACTGTACTAGCGTAACGCCGTGTTCAATACCGATCCACATCATTACAAAGTTAGAATCCTGGGTATTGCCCCACCAAATGGGGCGCCACGGTGGGGAGATGTTAACTACCTCGCCTGGTGTACAGGAGGTCGTGGATTTTATCCCGACCCTGGCGCCTGTTTTCGTGTCTCTCTCTCTCTCTCTCCGTGGTTACGTGGATTTTTCTCCGGGTCCTCCGCTTTTCCCTCCACATTTAGAATCAACATCACGCGTTTAGAATATTTGGCTGCTGTACATTTCTACGTGATAAGCCACTTCGTTGGGCTATGATTTGTGATAACCAGGTGGCTTCTGAAAAATTGCTATATAGCTCCAGTGGGCCATGCCTGGTAAAATAAAACATAGTTGAAACTATAAAAACTGAACGTTTTTTTAATTTTAACAGGTTAAGCCCACTGAGCTATATAGCTCTTTTTCAGAAGTCACCTGGTATGCATGGTGATTCTAAATCCGGAGGGAGAACCCGGAGGACCCGGAGAAAAATACACGCGACCACGGGGAAAGAGAGACACGCAAACTCCGAATATACAACAGGTGTTATGGTAGGAATTGAACCCACGACCTCCTTCATACCAGACGAAGTAGTTAACATATCGCCACCGTGGGGCCATCGTATAAGACAAATGACCTTCAGTCAAGCGAAGAAGGGAGTCTGAGGGCTTGTTTCAAGAGCAAATGGAATGGGATGCCCCGAGGGCAAAATGCAATATAAGCGGCCGTTAACATGGGACGATTTGATGCGTAACAGAGGTACTGCGTGTATACTGTACTACATATATAGTGCATATGTATAAATATAGATTCCAAGATACATTTATCTCTGGAGATATATGTGTATGTGTGTAACTGTACCTCCCTGCAATAACTCACACGTGGATCTCCATGTATGTGTGTGAATAACCACTCTTCACACGTGTCGTTTAATATAGAATATTATAGGATGAAGGGAATGTGCTCGGTGGTTTAGGTTCCTTGGTGGAGAGCGGTGGAGCAGCGGTTAGCGCCACACTGCACTACGAACCCTGTTACACGGGTTCGATTCCCGCTCACGGCCAACACCAGTGACGATTATCTGAACCATTCCTGGGCCTCCCCTAGGTCGACTCAGCCTCAAATCAGTACATGGTGTGTATAAACATCGCCACTGGGGAGACAAAAGCGACGCGGGCGTGGTGCTGGCCACCCACCCACGTGTGTGCCATGCCGGCCTGTATAGGTGCTGCTCGCTAACAGCACTTGCCCCAACAGTCTGTCACAGGCGATGCACGGGGGAATTTTTGTGTCTTTGTCTTGTGTTCCTTGGTGGCCAGGCAGTTATTCTAGAAGAGGACAGTGGGCACGTATCTATTCTCAGGACAATATTAAAAGGAAGGGGATAGAAGGGAAGGGGGTTGTCTTGAATGTAAAAAAGTTTAACTGTGAATGGTTAAGACATTTTTTTTAAACACACAACAGGATTATTTTTGATGCCTGCATCACACAAAATTGTGCTTGTTTACAAATAGTGCGGGAGTAAAAAAAAAAATGATGAAACTCAAACAATTATTATTTAATTATAAATTATCCCCCCAGCAGAGTGTTGCGGCGTGTTTTAGCTACACGGGAGTATTTGTACGGATTACGTTGTTCTTTAAAGGTCGATACTGAGCACGACGTAAATCGTGATGCCACTCTCGCCCCATCTAAAGTGCAAGGTGTAAGTAAGTACAGGGGTTTCTATGGAAGAAACTCCGAGGTGCAACATATTACTGACCGGTATTCGGTATAGACCTCGAATATCACGACATTGACCTCTGCTGCTGGGTAGAACGACGGGATAAATTGGATAATACCCCGAACTTCTGTTTATTCTTGTCGGCGTTATCAATCACCTCACTGCCCTCACAGACGGAGCTCCTCCAAGCCTTAAACAGGTTAACCTTGTCTCCCTTAACGTCCGTGACTTAAATCATCCCCGTCCAAAGGCAGCGCACTTACTAATATTAATCTATTTCAACCAGACTTGGTGTTCCTCCAGGAGATACATTTGATGATCACCGAGGCATTCAACATCTGTAGGTTGTGTGGAGGACAAGTCTTACATTCATCTTTTGTCTCCCAACATTCAGGAAGTGGTCATAATGGCCAAATAAACCAGTGGTTCTCAACAGGGGCTACTTAGATCCCAGGGGGTACGTAAGGTGATTCTTTTGAAATGTGTGGAATTATACCATAAATTAGTCATGAGTGAATAATTACGTATGCATATGCGAATAGAAAATAACTACGATCAAATTTAAATCGATATTGTAACCTAGAACGATATAAAAGACCTTTCTAAACTCATTGATCGTAAACAATGCTGGTTTCCAAGAGTATCCAGCTAGCGTGAACAAATTGTCACGCATGCAGTGCGTCCAATAAATTTGTTTTTATTCGCATGCAGTTACTCACTGTAGTCTTCTTTTACGTGTATAAATATCAGCAGATGAAAGATGTAATTGTAGATTTGTCATCCACTCAATTGTCTGTTCATAAGCAGAGTGGATCTTGTCCATTCCTCCTATAAAGGAGTGCAGACAGCAGCAGCAGCGTGTTTAGAATGTGGTTGATCGTTTTGGATTCATGGCCGCAACATTCGATGCGCCATTTGTGCATCAGGTGGCCGCATCGGTGCTGATTCGGTTGATACAGTGGACCATTGGCGAGGTGAAAGCTTGAAACCGGGAGGTTCGACGGTAGGGGCCCTGTATGAGATGTTTCTTTTTGATGTCGGCCGCAGACCAGACTTGCTTTCATCTCGCGTCTTCGTTTGTATTTGTGGCGTGAAGTGAGGCTACTGTGATCCAGAAGGGGTGGCGTGATTTTGGGCGAATAGGCGGCGCTGGGTTTATGTCCCGATGTATTGGAAGGTGCGGGGGTTGACGATCATTTTTTGGTACTCCCGGACGGCCGCTGTTTCACGACGGATTTGCCGTGGAGCGATGTGGGTGAGCGCTGGGAGCCACTGGGTTGGCGTCGACTTCAGCGTACCTGAGATGACACGCATTGGAATGTTCAGTTGTGTCGATAACTCGAGTGTGAGCGCTGCATCTCCACACTGCTGAGCAATACTCTCCCGTCGAATATACGAGGGCGAGTGAGGCTGTCCGTATTGTTCGAACATCACAACCCCAACTAGTTCCCGCCAGTTTATGGATGTTTGTGCGGATTTTATCTTGTTCTAAATTGCTTAATGTGTTGCCTGAAAGTGAGACTTCGATCGAGCGCCACTCCGAGGTATTTCGAGAGTGGGTTGCGGGTGATGGTTTTACAACAAAACTCGATCTTCAGCGTACTTTTTGCCTCCGCGTTCGTGAGATGGAACGCTGAGGTCACTGTCTTGGTTGGTTTTGGCTAAAGTCGACAGGAGTAGATATCATTTTCCAATTTCTTAAGGTCGGTGTTCAATATTATTGAGCTGCGCTGGGTGTCGTCGCTTGGCCGGCCAGTGCTAGATCGTCTGCGTAAATGAACTTGCGGCTTAATGTAGCCGGCATGTCGCTGGTGTAAATATTAAACAGGGCTGGTACGGTAGGCCATTTTATAGAGTTCGTGGGCGGCTGACTTTGTTTCCCAGATGGACGCGAAATTGTTTGTCGCTGAGCATTCTGGCGATGAAGCAAACCGTTTTTTCACACTTGATGGTGTTGACGAGTTTAAAGAGGAGTCCTCGGCGACAGACCGTGTCCTATTGCAGAGGACAAGTCTATTAAAGCAGCCGCTGTTTTCTGTTTATGCTGAAAGCTGCCTCGATGTGTGATGTCAAGGCGAGGACCTGGTGAGAACTGCTTCGTTGTGGCTGAAAACCTGCCTGCTCAGGTGGTATGGTGGCTTCCAGGAAAAGATTAGGCTGTACAAAGAAAAAAGGTTGGCCTTTAGCTGTGTGAGTCATCATCAGGTTTTCCTGGCTTGAGGAGAGCAATGATTTTTTATTTTTTCGAAAGTCTTGGTAGCTTTCTGGTGGCGATGATTTTTGAAAAAAGTTTAACCATCCAGGTTCTTCCTCTGCTGCCAAAGGTGTCTAATGAATTCCAGGTAAATCCCATCTATTCCTGCGGCTTTACCTGCCTTTGTTACCATCAGTGCGGCATCTATTTCTTCTGGAAGTACAGCTGCAGACAGAGGAGAGCTTTTGACACTGGTGGAAGGTGTATCTTTTGTTGTTGTTTAACTGTGCGTTCTTGTTTTCGACATTCCGATTTCTTTTTCATTGCCGAGAAGCTGCGTCGCTATCCCATTAGCTCACTCACTCGTTAGGATACCTCGCAAAATGGACAATTGGATAAAATATATTCATTACTCATACATTTATTTCTCAAAACCATGTTGGGTCAGGCAACGGGGCACTCAGTTGAAGCAAAATTCAAGTTGGCAAAAAAAATATTGAGAACCACTGCTTTAAATGCATAGCTGTTCAGACAAACATCGACACAATCCCAACACCTTCGGTAATGCTACTGTCTTAAGAGAGCCAAATATATACAATAGGCAACGTTTTTGGACAAAGGTCCTTCTTCATAGCATGCAAAGCTGAGAGATATAGCAAGCCCATAAAAAGGTGCCGTGGAATGAAAAAAAGGTTGAGAAGCACTGGGTTAGGGGAACGTTTCACCCAAAACACGTTCCAACTCTTAGAAGATAAGGCCGCTTAATCTCAATTCTCCATGACTTTGATCCCGTGGTTGTGTCCCTTTACCGGGCAATCAGACATCTTGAACTATCTGGGGGCATCCACGGTGGGTGGATCGGGGTGGCAGATCCAAATGTCACCTTGTAGGTCTCATACCCGAAAACATGATGCTTTGGTTCACTGTGCATTTGGTTCACATGTATACCTCTCGAAGGACTGTTCGGTTTGGGTTCGTATTAAAAAAAAAAAACCTGGGGGCGTATATATGACAAAAAATCGAACCCACGTGTATCGGAGTAATTCCATTCAGTGTAACACGTAGGCTTTCGCGACCAATATTATTCATAATAAAGGTTTTTGGGTTAGATCGCGTTATTTATAAATGTGTGGTAACCCTCCACCACCCAACATGGCCAAACAGTAAAAAAAAGTGTCACGTTCACAAAAGACAAATCGTTCACTACTTTAGCCGACTGGTGTGTTGAGTGAATCCACAACATTTACAGTTTTTGAGTACGACGTTTCCCTGGTAATAGCATCCAGCGTCATCGGGCAATTCGCCATTCAGGCTCCCAAAACTACTTTTATTTTTCTTCTCCACATCAACATTCCCGATATCTTGAAATAAAAGCCAAAATTTTAATGACTCTCTAGACTTAAGTCCAATTACCTAACCTATCCTACAAAAGAATGGAAACTTAGACCTTCCAGATTTTTTGGAAAGTCAATCTCACTACCTGAGAGGATTGGAACCACGGAGATGGAGCGATGAAATCAGCCTGCGTGCAAGATCCAGATGGATTACTGCATTTTAAGACCTTCATGATCCTGCAATACAACAGTGCAACAACCCACCTGATGATGATAATTATTAATAATAATAATTACCAATAATTATTCAATATTACTTCAACATGTACGTACTCCGCTTCATACTCCCTCTCTGCCTCACTCGCAGATCTCCACATAACCTCCCAGGCACTGTCCAGCCATGACCATCGCCAGCGCCAACAACAGCATCACGGGCCATGGCAGCACGGGCAGCCTCTACAATCCGACGAACGAGACGCGTGACTGCATGCGTGCCGTCACGCGAGAGGACATTCACGCGCACCTCCTCGACGGCAACGAGCGCGTGGTCATCAACGTGGCCGGCATGAAGTTCGAGACGTGCGCGCGGACGCTCGCCCAGTTCCCCGACACGCTGCTGGGCGACCCCGCGCGACGCGCCCAGCACTTCGACCCCCTGCGCAACGAGTACTTCTTCGACCGCAACCGGCCCAGCTTCGACGCCATCCTCTACTACTACCAGTCGGGCGGGCGGCTGCGCAGGCCCGCCAACATCCCCTTCGACCTGTTCTCCGAGGAGATCCGCTTCTTCGAGCTGGGCGAGGAGACGATCCAGCGCTTCCGCGAGGATGAGGGCTACATCCGCGAGGAGGAGAGGCCGCTGCCCGAGTCGGAGCTCAAGCGCCAGGTCTGGCTGCTCTTCGAGTACCCCGAGAGCTCGAGTGCGGCCCACCTCGTTGCGATTCTCTCCGTTGTCGTCATCTTGGTGTCAATTTTCATCTTCTGCATGGAAACGCTGCCGCAGTTCCGAGACCATGCTGATCAAGAAGAGCAGTTCAATGCCACCGAAATTCCCTCAACCGCCAGTTTTGCCACGGATCCATTTTTTCTGGTGGAAACCCTTTGCATCGTGTGGTTTTCCTTCGAGCTTGTGGCACGATTCCTCTCGTGCCCTAGCAAAACTGCGTTCTTCCAAAACATCATGAACAGCATCGACGTGGTGGCCATCATGCCGTACTTCATCACGCTCGGAATGGAGCTGGCCGAGCAGCAGGGCAACGGTCAGCAGACCATGTCGCTCGCCATCCTGCGCGTCATCCGCCTGGTGCGCGTCTTCCGGATCTTCAAGCTGTCGCGCCACTCCAAGGGCCTCCAGATCCTGGGCCAGACGCTCAAGGCGAGCATGCGCGAGCTGGGGCTGCTCATCTTCTTCCTCTTCATCGGCGTCATCCTCTTCTCGAGCGCCGCCTACTTCGCCGAGGTGGACGAGCCCAAGACGTACTTCACGAGCATCCCGCACGCGTTCTGGTGGGCCGTGGTCACCATGACGACGGTTGGCTACGGCGACAAGGTGCCCGTGACGGTGGGCGGCAAGGCGGTGGGGTCGCTGTGCGCCATCGCGGGCGTGCTCACCATCGCGCTGCCCGTGCCCGTCATCGTGTCCAACTTCAACTACTTCTACCACCGCGAGACCGACGTCGACGACTCACACTCTGGCAGGGCCCACTCTCCGGAGCACTCTGCTGCCAGGATGTCAATCGTCCAGTCGCTGAGGAGGAGCGCGCCGAGCACACCGGTCCACGCACCAGGCTCCATGGGCAAGAGCGACAACACGCGCACACACACATATGTGGCCAACAGCTTTGAGCATCAGTGCAAGCCCACCGATGTGTGAAGGCCACGTGGCCATTGGTTGGAAGTGTTCCACCCTTTTGTCTTAAAGTCATGTAGCCTGTGTACTTTACATGTTTTTCCATGTTTTGTTTTTGGGTGGGGGTTATTTACCTTTTTGAAATACATTGGCAGTATTTTCATATATTTTGTTTACTTTTCTACTCATCTTTATACATACATTGCTCTTTTCCCCGAATGCTTAACACATATGTGAGAATATTTCCGACGTTTGTTTATTTTTGGAAATCTCGAATGGTATGCAATTTGTATGTGTTTATAATCTATCGTCTCAGATACCGATATGGCCTTGTTTGAATTAGTTTCAATTATGAAATGATTACCGCACTATGAATTGCTTTGCAAGTCCTGTGTTTCTCGGCTTGCCCGAGAGATTTTGTTGATGCTCATAAGCACTTTAACGCAATGCAATCACTTGAAAAGCTTGGAATGAGTTAATTGCCGGGTGAAAGCCACTTAACTTCATCCTGTAACTTGCTGCCATCTTGCTTTTTTTGCTGTATACTTTAAATCGTTTTGCGTTGGTAAATTCTAATATATAAGTGACTGGCGAGACGTTCGTAGTAATGATATATGCATGCCGAATAATAATTACAAGTAAGCATTAATAATGTAAAACTGATGTTCATATCTAATCTCATTAGAAATGTAAATTGTATAAGTCAGTGGTTCCCAACCGTTCTGGACCCGCCGACCACAGCCAATCAAGACATCTTCGTTGACCGCCACGTGGGAATAGCATCCGCCATAACATTCAAAACAACCCTGTTCATTAACAAGCAATAAAAAAACATTAACTTGCTATTTATTTAATCATCTAAATAATTGTGCAATGGGCGGTCGGTAAATTTTTGTAAATAACAACAACCGTAGTACGGATCTGTAACAGTTCCACTAGCCAGTGTACCCACGGCCTTGCAGATGGACAGTGGACTACGGACCAGAGGCTGGGAACTGCTAGTCTGTGTTAATGTATCGATTTAAAGCTTTCGTGACTGCAGGGATTCATCTTCTTGGTTCTTTCGGTGAAGTCACGTAGAATGGAAATAAGCTTAAAAGACGCTGCAAATCTTAGCAGCGTTCATTGAAGCACTGTCGTCCCGACAGTTCTGTTCCTTCACCTGAAGAAGGCTACTTGTATTCTTGGTTCTTTCGGTAAAGTCACGTTGAAGGGAAAACAATAAAATAATAAAATATATATAAAACAATAAAATTCTCACGACGTTTCGACTACAACACAAGCAGTCACCTGATGATGACTGCTTGTGTTGCAGTCGAAACGTCGTGAGCATTTTATTGTTTTATATATATTTTATTGTTTTCCCTTCAACGTGACTTTACCGAAAGAACCAAGAATATGAATCATTGCAGTCACGAAAGCTTTGAATCAAAATTTAAGGCTACTTGTGTTGTGGCCGGAACGTCGTGAGAATTGTATTTTATTATGTTTTATCTTTATTATTTTATTTCCATTCTACGTGACTTTACCCAAAGAACCAAGAAGATGTGTTAATGTAGTTTGTGATGTCTGCCTTGGAGTTTGTAGACTGGAGGGCTTCCTCGAGCTGTCACTGTGTTAGATTTCACAGGACTCATGCAAGAATCAATATCACTGTTCAGAGTTTTATTTCGTGAGTGGACCATTTGAAAAGGAGAAAATGTTTCTTAAGTGGTGAATGTCTTATCCTCAAGCCCACGGCTGTGTAGTCACAGGATGGCTCTATCCAATCAGCCAGTTGGCTCATGAGCAGCAGCAATTTATGGTTTTTGTAAGCTTGGCGTTAAGAGACAATTGCACTCAAATTAAGTAGCTTTGAAACGCAACTCAAGGGACGCGCATTACTCTTGGGACTACGGAATAGCAATTGGGATGATGGCTTAGAATTGGAGGCTTAGATTAGGATTGGGCTGTATAAATCGTTAGTTTGCCTATATACTGAAGTTGAAACAACTCGTGAGAGACCAGCCTTGGATTGTAGTCATCGTGGTGGGAATCTCGGCACAACACGCCGTTGTTGTGTGAAGGCCATTCCATGATATCTGTCTGTACCAGATGTTTATGTCATCATTGACTCCCTCCCACAGTCACCCGTGAACAGAGCTGGTGGTTGCTTGTGAGCGACTTTGCAAGGGAATCTGTTAGACGTAGGGTTACGACCTATTAGGTACAAAAAGACTTGGGCATATGATGGTGAATAAGAATATCTCACATATTGGAAGAGGGGTGGGTGGGGGGGGAATTACATATGAATGCATGCAAATGTATTGCCTTGAGTGATGCATTATCAGGCACCTGACAAAAACTGGGACTTGTGTAATGAAATCCACGAGGGAGACATGTAACAATCAACCCTCTTTATATCTCTTCTACAGCTCCCCTTACAAATCCATCTCCATCTCTCTCCGCCTGCGCGACTCCCCACTCTCTTCTCTCCCCTACAATCACGTCCCTCCGAAGGGCCTTTCCTCCCGTGCATCATGGGGTCAACGGCTCGTCCTCCAATATGAGAGCGGTGAGGGAGGTCCTGCTAGGCGCTGCTTTCCCCATCTGCCCTGAGTATCCTACAATACCCCCCCCCCCCCATAAAAAGTCTTCCTCGACGGAACCCCGCTGCACAAGCAGTGCCCGTGCGAGCACAATGCCCAATGCCCAGATGCACCACATCATTTTGTCTCAATAAAGAAAGTGCCCTCGTACCTGCGTGTGCGTCCCACCTCAGCGCGTAGACGCACACCTGCAATACCCCCCCCCCCCCCCCAAATGAAAACCAGCCCTTGAGTAACACAGCAACTGGGTGAAAGGGGGAAACAACATAAGCATACACACCCCTCAAGTGGAAACAAAAATGACAATCCTGCAGGCAGCAACACACCCACAGTGTAACAGCGGCGAGGGATGTGGAAAAAAAAACCCCACAAGAGAGCCAGGGTGACACAACGCACGAATGGACGGCCCGTACAGGACGTCAACAGGATCCTCATCCCCGGTGACCTGTCTCTGTCGTGGATTGCAATGTGCAGGTCTCAATCGGTCTGTGACTTACCGACGATCTGGCTTAGCATCGCGGTGATGGTGCGGTTTAGGCGTTCCGCCATCCCATCAGTCTGTGGGTAGTACGGCGACGTGCGCAACTTCTTCTTACCCAAAATATTGCACAGCTCCCGCGCCAGTTTAGAGGAAAAATCGCGGCCCTGATCCGTGAGCAATTTCTCCGGGACACACTTGTCCACAACGTGCCCCTTGTAAGAAAACCTCCGCAATGGACTGAGCCGTCTGATCGGCGAGGGGCCACGCCATAGGCCATCAGGTGAAATACTCAACACCCACAAGTAAACATGTACGACCACGTAGCAGTGCGAGGGAAAGGTTCTCAAACGTCGAGAGCCACCAGCTCATTCACCCGGGAGTTGGTGATGGATTGCCATGGCACTGTCACCGGGCGTGCACATTCAGCACACGTGGCTATCCATGTGCGTACATCTGCTGCCATGCCTGGCCAGAAGTAGCGACTTCTAAGTGTGCAGAGCGTCTTGCGTTCACCCAAGTGCAGGAGACGGTGACCATGAACCTCCGCCACCAGCCGTTCCCATACAGGAGTAGGAAGAACCGGACAATGACACTGGGTGTCCAGTTCCCACCGCATAAGCAGTCCCCCAACATTAGTAAACGATGTCACAGCAAGATCTCGACTTGTGGGAGCGTGAGGGTGAGCCAGGGCACAAAACGACACGAACATGTCGTCCGTTTGCAACTGCAATCAATCCTCCAGGCTAAGCCCTATATCCCATTCTTGCAACGTAGCCTAGGAGGAGCCTGCATGCATGTCGATTGGCGACCACGAGGCTCGGCATCTCGGTCGGAGTAGGCCTGCACCTAGCAGACCCCCCCGGAGCAAGCGCAAGCCATCCCACCTGGCAGGTGCAACAAGGAATCAATGTTGTGGATTCACTCTTCAACAAACTGGTGAGCTAAAGTAGTGAACTATTTGTCTTTTGTCAACGTGACACTTTTTTACTGATTGGCCGTGTCGAGTGGTGGAGGGTTTACGACACACGTCTAAATAACGCGATCTAACCCAAAAACGTTTATTATGAAGCCATTCACGTTCGCGTTGGCGTGGCGCATCCCTTTCCTGTGGACCACGTCATAAGATAATTCCTGCAGGCTCTCAATCTATCTGGCCATCTGGCCATCTGGCCTGAAGGACGTTCAATGTGCAATGAAAACTGCAGCACCACATGATCAGTCCTCACCACAAATGGCCAGCCGTATTAGAGCGGAATTGACTGACAAAATGTACGACTTGTAGGAGTTCTCGGATCATGATGCAGTACCGCTGTTCGGCCAGCTACAACACCCGACTGCCATAGGCGATCACGACTTCCCGGCCAGACTGAGCCTGCGATGACATGCCCCCGATCCCCACATCGCTGGCATCCATGTCCAATATAAAAGGCAACGAAAAATCAGGGTAAGCCAGTGGCGGACATCCGAAATAAACCCTCGCAACTTCCTAAAGGCCAAATCCTCCTCAGGACCCCAGTGAAACTTCTGACCCTTGGCAGTAAGTGCATGGAGTGGCTTCGCAATGGTGGAAAAATCTTGTACAAAATGGCGATAGTATGACACGAATCCAACAAACCTCTGGACATTCAACACTGAGACGGGTGTGGGCGAGTCGCAAACACAGCGAGTCTTACCAGGGTTTGTGGCCACCCCTGCCGTGCTGACAACTTGCACCAAATACTTTAAAGAGGACTGTGCTAGATGGCAATTGGACAGTTTGAGCTTCAGGCAATACCCCTGAATGCGTGAAAAGACCAGTGCCAACCGCTGTAAATGTTCCTCAAAAGAGCGACCAAAGACGATGACGTCATCCAAGGAAATCAAACACATTGAAGACCTGTCAGGACCAACTCCATCAACTGTTGAAAAGTGGCTGGTGCTGACTGGAGATCCATCAGCAAACAGTTGAAATGGAAGAGGCCTTAAGGTGTTCTGAATGCGATTTTGTGCCTGGAGTCCTCGTCCAAAGGTAGCTGCCAGAATCCTGACTATAAAACCAGGGTAGAAAATAATTTGGCTCCCCCCAGTGCATCCAAAGAATCGTCGATTCGTGGCAACGGATAGGCATCTGCCAAAGTAACCTTATTTAATCGGTGAAAGTCCACGCAGAACCGTAAGAATCCATCGGAGTTTCTGACAAGCACGATCGGGGCCCGCCACGGGCTGGTGGAGGGTGAATATTTTTTTTGCTCGTAGCATTTCATCTACCTTTCTGTGTGTGAGCCTTCTCCACCGGCCCCATGCAGTATGAGTTCTGACGGATCGGTGGTGCATCCCCCGTTTCAATGTGGTGCCACATTACATCCGTCCGGCCCAAGTCATAAGGGCCTTCATTAAAAACCTCTTCAAACGTCTGTAGCAGTACCTTCAATCCCCGGTGTTGGGAGTCAGACAAATTAGGGTTCTATGAAGCTAACCCATCCAACCACGACACAGCTTCTGCATTTGTGTGCTCTGCATCAGCCTCTACGCAGAGGCGAGAGGAGGCCGAGACACTGCTTGCCTTCCGCAACTCCCTGCTGGCGCTGGCTCGGGCAGCTTTCCCTAATATGGACGGGGAGGCGCTGGACTAGCTGGCCCTGGAGCGGTTGCTCTCTCTGGCGCGGGAGCTGGGAATTGCTCTGGCAATCGCCGAGGAGGCCGAGATCTCATCTCTGAGAGTGGTGCAGAACATTCAGGCACACCTCGCCCTGCACCAGTCGGTCGGTGTGGCGGTATGCACGGGCATCCCGGTGCCCGCGGGGGCTGCCACACCACAGGAGGAGGATGGCCTCGCTGCCTTTATTGTGGGCAACCGACGCGGGAGAGGTGCCGGAGCAGCGGTGGCGGGCGAGGGCTCGTCGCTCGCAGGGGTCGGCATCCATCACCTGCTTCCGCTGTGGTCAGCAGAGCCACATCGCGTTGGGCTGCCATAACGCCCCTGGGGCCTTCAGCAGGCCCTCATCGTTCTCCGGCTCCACGTCAGCGTCATCATCCGGGCCCCAGGCGAGTTGCGATGCATCAATCA